AGACATAGCGATGAAAGCAATAAGGAAACAATAACTAAACATAATATGTCTAACCTCTGTCCCTGAGAGAGTAACGCTCTATTTTTGCTATCTTTATTGAATCTGGGAAATGCTAGTTGTGATCACGGTGGGGCCGTTATCTTTACGAAATATGGTATGCGCCCACAAACAATCGACATTTTATATTAGCACTCTTGACTGGTCGAGGGCATCTTTTGAGGTAAACCCCTTCAAACAATCCGATAAAATTTTACTAGGAACTGTGGCACTGGATTCTGTAGCAGTAATCACGCTGATAGAGCGCCTTCCGTTTTTTGCCAACCTGCTTCTTCAGATAGTCAACTCTTATTGAGTATTAATTCTTTAGCATAAGGTCTTCTGCACTGTTTCTGTATAATAGATGTCCCTTGCGCTAGTATTGCTAACGATTGTATTACTGTTTCTTTTGATCGTTTTGGAATTCTGATTGTTTTATACTTCGTTGACCTTCATCAGCACTTGTATGTTTTTGTTTGGGAAAAATATCCCACGACCTGGAAAGAATTGGCCACAATCTCACTTCCCGCTGCTTGCATTCACCACTGTGCGCACAACGATTCTGGAGATATAGTATCACTTTATGGTCCTCTTTAAATAGAAATGTCAGTTGTGAGGTATTGCATTACGCAAACGTTCTAATATGGCTGCATTCCTAACATACATTAGGTAAAGCAGGTAGAACACTTTCACTTTCGACTACTTTTAGGCAGTCGCCCTAATTCCTAAGCAGAATCTAAACAGGCTTCAGCATTGTCGTCGTGAGACGCTGTTGCCCAGCAAATTCAGGGCTCCTCGCGCTCGTCATCGGTCCTAGAGCGCGAAGACAACTAAAAGGAAGTGTTCAAGCAAATTTTCATTTTCGAGTTTTTCAATATATCGTTTTGGTATGCTGAACAAATAAATTTCTTTTAGCGTGAAACTGTCAAAAAAAAAAAAACAGTGATGTCGGGCTCCATTTGATGGACCGGGACGATTTACAGCACCTCATCGTTTGTGGCTTCTATCGCTAACAGTGTTCTCCAGCAAAAAAAGACATCCCATCGTTGGATCACCCCAAATCTGCACCGGTACAATTCGCTCGGAGAAGCTAAAGTACGACATCTTTTATTAGCCCTCGCTACCTTTCGAGACGAATTGCACCGGCCCAAATTTCAGCTGGTCTCACAACGACCAACTGTCTCTCTCATTAGGCATGTTGCCGGAAAAAGTCAAAGATAATTAGTTGCTGGAAGGTCACCATCAGCTTAGGAAAGTCCAGAATTTTCAAAGTTTTTGAAGTTTACTTTGGTGTTACACTAAAACCAAAGCGATGAAACTTTAAGTCAAAAATTTGCCCGGACCCTGCCTTGTGAACAGTGCGCGGGGCCTCATCGATTCGCATATCACCAAATAATATGCTGTGGCGCTGTTTGGGCTCTGGATAGCCGCGTTTTCGCACGAAATGACTCTGCAGAACTCTCTAAGATGTTGTTTTGAAGAAGTTCATCATGTTTATCAGACGTCTAATAAGTGATCGACTCCGTTTTTGGGCAGTCAAGGAATTGCATAACTTACGCTGCCAGTACGCAAAGCAATGCTCCTACTAGCATAGCAGTGTAGCCGGCAGTAGCTAGGATCGAAGCAGCAACAATGGATACAGCTCCACGTCGTGATTGTAGAGCATCATGACGATGTTGACTCATGTAGAATGTCCAACTAAAAAAGGCAGGAGAATTAATTTCATTGACCTGATAAGCTTACATT